TCCATCTTCAGGGTAGAAGAAAAAGTATAAGAAATCTGCAAGCGACAAGACCGTGAGAACGGTNCATTTGTCATATTCTGGGCTTGAAGAAAGAGCCACTTCATTTCCTAATTTTCTGTGCAAATTTGCAATGGTTTTCATATATTTATCACATAACCTTTACCCTTTCTGAACACTCAAAAACAAACTCTGTGGCCTGTAGTAAACTATACTGACAAAACAACTGCCACTTCTCAGTGAAGTTAACTGCCAACTTTTATGGATAGAGAGTGTCATGTTGTCAGCAGCAATGGATCCCCATGGCCATTAATCTAGGTTTTCTAGACCAGAGTCACTGTTTCCTTGAAATAGCTCCTCAACCATCCTCACGAGGCTGTCTGAACACTAAAAACTTTACTTTACCATCCAGTCCAAATTTCAGTCTTTCTTGTAATGTGAAATGTGACTGACATCCAATGGATTACAAAACTGTTTTAAAACATTAATTTTTTGACACTTGTAGCACTTGCATCCATTTTAAAAATGTGGCAAAAATAAAAATCAATTTTACACTTCATCAAATCACTACTGCATTTGTCAGGCAAGGAAATACAACTTTATCGGCATCAGGTATGAACTGAAAGGCTGGATGAGTCATGATGCCCTGCAGTATATCTGTACAGGTCACAAAATGAATCATCATGCCTAATCAAACCATAACAGACAGAAAATCATCTCCTCATCACTTTCATGCACCAGCGTGAAAATTTCCAAACATGTATTGAAATGTAAGATTTGAGGTTTTCACGGCAGTGACTATGAAGAAAGCAGTCTTCTGGGATGTGGAGCCGTGTAGATGTGGTGCTAACCAACGTTTCGGAGGAGCGTATCGCCTCCATCTTCAGGGTAGAAGGAAAAATAATAAAATCCGCAAGCGAAGAAACTAGTCTGCTTGCTCCTGCTCTCACTGTTTCTTCGCTTGCGGATTTTCTTATTTTGTCTTCTATCCTGAAGATGGAGGCGATACGTTCCTCCGAAATATCGGTTAACACCACATCTACACGGCACCACATCTCAGAAGACTGTTTTCTTCATGCATTGCAATCATCATTGACTGTTCTGGGAAAACTTAATACACCTGGCTATACATTTTTTGATAAACTAAGCTGAAGGTGAATTTGTTAATATGTCCTAACATATTATTAGTGTCATACCACATGAAAGACCCACTCAAAGGCTTCCAGTTTTATGACAGGAATCTCAATTATCTATCTCAATTAGAACCAGGGTTACAGAAATTTTTGTGCATCAGAAAAAAAAAAGACAGACAATTTGGAAAAAAACTAATTTTTTAAAGTTGTTTATTCAATCAGGCTTTCAGTATTGAGGCTATACAGGATTCATGGCTGCATGTTCAATGACTGTGGAGCACTTGGGGATTAAGAATTGGCAGGGGAAACCTAAGTACTCAGAAAACTAGCACCCTTCATCCACCACAAATTCCACATGACATGACCAGGGATCGAACCTAGGTCACTGCAATGGGAAGCCAGTAGCTGTGCACCTGAAATATGGCAAAGCTCATAAATCATACTGATTTGACATGGACTGGCCCAAAGCAACTGACATGAGTTATGCTGTTGAAATGTCTTTATGTGTAGATAGTCTTCGTACCACCACTTCCCCAGCAGAACTTCAGTAGATCTGTCAATATATTATTCTCGCTCATGTGCTGATGTCTGAAATAATACAGGAAAATAACAAGTCTTTGGATGAATATGCTACGGAGTAAGCTTGTAGGAATTTACTTAGTTTGGTTTGTAATTATTGTCTTGATAGGCATGACTTACGTTTATGTTAACTGAAGTATGACTGGTGGCGATAATATAGAGGAGCATAGGGTATAATAAACGGTAAAATAAAGTTTGTGTGATAACATAACACTGATATCTGTGAGATCACAAACATGATGCAATGCTGAAAAAAATGGTGCAATGACAATGCAAATACTTTCTCACATATGACTGGTATGACTATGATACCTTGAAAACAAAACTGACTGTTGCCTGACAGACCCCTGAGAGTTACTGAGTACCAAACAATTAAGCCCATCTCACCAATAATGCCAGTTTTGCAAAAGCAAAATTTCACGTTTAGTCATCATAAACTTCTAAAATATAATCTAAATCAATATGTGGCTTTCAAAAGAATCATGGCTTTGTGTTTTAGGGCATCCCCAAAGGGCTCCTATTTTTGGAGCTGCTATATTCATATTCACAGACCACTGACCTAAGATGGTTAATTCTTAAATACAAAGTATAAATGCAATCTGTAAAACCATTCAGGTGCTAAAGAGCAATACATCCAGACCACAAACAGCATCAGAAAAATCACATTTTTATATTTGGGGGGGTTACTTTTGCAGATGATACCAATATACTGGTAACAGATAAGAATAAAATTACTCTCCAAGAAAAAATAAAAAGAGTGATGATCCAGCTAGAATCTTGGTTTTCAAAAAATAACCTGTTTATAAATACTGAAAAGACCAAAGCAATGATATTCCAATTAAATTAACCACATGACATGTCTGAGCCAGTTATTACTTTCAAAAATATAAAAATTAATTATACATCATACATTTTTAAGTATCAATATAACACATAATGTAAAATGGAGGTTACATATTCAGTCCTTGTGTCTAACACTGAATAAGGTATGTTACATTATTAAATCCTTGAAAGATGTAGAAAGTTTATACTTAGGAACACTTTGCCAAATTTCAAACTTTGTTAAGTTATGGTTTGATTTTTTGGGGTGGAGAAAGTGAAAATAGCAAAGCACTGAAAATACAAAAAAAGATACTTCATTTAATGAAAGGTGTAAATAGCAGATGATTTTCATGTGACAAATTTTAATACATCGACTTCTAAGAAAAGTGTTATCAATATGGGTATTAAATTGTATAACAGACTGCCTTTGGAATTAAGAAACTCAGATGGATCTTAAGACTTTAAACATGGGCTAAAAGTATTTTTACTAGATCATCCATTCTATACTTTGTATAAGTTTCTCTTAGAGGGACAGTGGTAAGCATAGCAAAACCTCTATTCAGCAACTGAAATAGATAACAAATGGTTGCTTGTAGTATCTTAATGTGATTGGTGATTAACATGGTCATATGTAGGACTCTTGATTTACTGTAGGAAGGTCACAGGTTCAAGTCCCGATGAGGTCATTGGATTTTTTTCACTTGACCTAATCCTTCCAGCCGCACTATGGCCCTGGGGTCGACTTAGCCTCTAACAGAAATGAGTACAAGGAATTAATTAAATAATTTTCCTGGGGAGTAAAGCGCAGCCAGTGCATACGGCTAACAACCTTACTGCCATCTTTGAGCCAATTGTCTAGATAACGTGGGACCCTCGATGTCTCACAACCCTAAGGGCCTTCATGGCCTGCTACAGGGATAGCTTTACTTTACTTTTACTTTACTCTTAAAATTCTCTTGATAAACTCGTAAGGTTGGCTTGCATTTTTATTCACATATTGTATCTAATTTGATTATTTATCTGGTTTGATAATGTGTTTTATTTTAATTGTAGGTTAACCATGTTAAGAGTGATTATTGTTGACAAATTCTAATCCCTTAGGCATTTGGGCAAAGAATTTCAAGATTGATGTATTTAAGGATGTGACTTGTTCAAGTGTTACTGCTGTAGCAATTATGAATGCCAAATAAAACGAAATGAAATTGTGTAAATTCAAATAAACCTCAAAATCAATTTTTGTCACAATCACAGTACTTTCTCATATATACATGTATGAGAAAGTAATAATTGAGAGTTTGGGCTAAGGCAGGACAAGAAGGGTTGGTTTAATTCATTTTATTTTACTATAGGCTTATCTTTCACCCAACAAAATTATATTTCAAAGGTTGATGGAGTTTTTCATCTCATATTTATGATATTATAGTTAATCTTTAATACTAAAAAAAAACATAATGTTCATAATTTCTGGCTGGTCCATGAAATAAATCTAGCAACTTTTCTAAAGGATAGAAATTGGTAAGTTACTAGACACTGCATATACAACCCATGAGCAAACCTAAACCTTTCACTTGTATAAATTATCACTAATGGATAATATTATTATTATTATTACTATTCCCTTCTATGGAAAGTTGCTGGAAAGTAAGATAATGGACTAGGCACTGTATAATGGGAGGAGCCAGGATTGAGTGCAGTAAGCAAATATTAATCAGATTTTGAATAACAAATTAGATATGATTTAACATTTATCTTTTCTGTGTGAGACAGCATTGTGTGTGCATGAATGATACAAAAACTGCCCATTCTTTACAGAATCTTCGGTGAAATTGTAACATATGGAGACTACGGCAAAGAGTGACCCACTGCTTCCCTATCATCACCCCACCAGGTCCACCACAGGGCTATGATAATGTCACTAAGAGCAGCTGCATGCTGAAGGGATAAAGTCAGCATCAGTGTGTAATGGATGCTAATACAAGGCACTGCCAATCACTAAACTTAATTTTTAAATTAACCTTAAAAGGTTTTCATTATGTAAATCTGCAATGAGGGTGAGGCAGAAGGGGATGAGACCTGGGTCGGTGTGTAACCAATGATGATGTATGGAACAGCCAACAATAAACTTTCACATTTAAACTAGATTTGGAAGGACTGCGATATGAAAAAAGAGGAAACAGAAACCTTCACAAGTTTGCATTCATCACATTATGCAAACAGAACAAACATTCTAACCTTATAACATTTGCATTATTTTAAAAAATGGGGTTGGCACTGCATTCTTTGATGTCATCAGTGTACCACAAGAGAACTGTGCCTGTGTAATACAGCAGAAGCCCTGCAGAAGGAAATATTAGTGTAACAAGAAGGGATGAATACCAATCACTGACTCCACATAGTACAATTTAACAGAATTCTCAAAAGTTTTATGTCAAAGAAACTTTTTTTTTGAGCATTTCTTCATAAACTCACATTCCACCTTTCCATCTGTTATATTGCACCACAGCCAATGGCTTTCCTTTCAAGGAGGGATTCAGCCGTGCCTCCACCTGACAGTAGAAGCAATCCATGTCAACCAAAGTGATGATGCGGTCCATCGTGCTAATGTCACAAGGAGCTGCAAGATGAATACCACATTAACTTTATACCATTGAATGCAAAACAGGCAGTTATATTTTGCTCTTGCTTCCAAAATTTATATTTTTAGAGTGATGACTAGATGAAAAGGTAAAGAATGCATTCCTTATTTAAAGTATTAACTTGACACTCACCACAAACACATGAAGAACCAAAAGAAAAATAAATTCAGGGAAATATAAATGAAATCGGGAGGTCCACTGTAACGCATTTTCTACTGGCACTGAAAGCGGTTGCCATTTAATGTGATCATGTGTACGAACGCAGCAAAGTTGCGAAGTCATTCATTTATCTAATACAGAAAATGTTGACATTCAAACTCAAATACTTACACACCGAGTCACGGAATAGTTATCAATTGATACACGCAATCAGCCCCGTGAAACTCCAATGTTATTGGTTGGCAAAATGGCCGCCATGATACCTCGTTTACATGCTGCTGCCATCTATTTTCAGCTTACATGAATTAAATTTAAAATGGCATCCAGGGCCGAGAGCACAATCGGTAAGAAGGTATGCTACCTTAGCAACTCTTTTGAATGCTCGCCGCGCCCCTTGCAGTTCTTTTTTTCGCTTCTTGCAAAAAATACTTTTACAACCAGATCTCTTGTATTGCAGACTCTCTTTCCTTCTGCTGTTCCCACCAATATCCTATATACATTCCTCGCCTCCCCCATTCGTGTTAGATGCCCTGCCAACCTCACTAGTCGAGGATGATGAGATTGGCAGGGAATGTAGCACGAATGGGGGAGACGAGGAATGCATACAGGATAATGGTGAGAACGCCAGAAGGAAAGAGACTACTGGGAAGACCAAGGTGTAGGTAGGTGGACAATATTAAAATGTATCCTAGTGAGATAGGATGGTATGATATGGATTGGATTGATCTGGCTCAGGATAGGTACCAATGGAGGGCTCTTGTGAACACAGTAATGAACCTTCAGGTTCTACAAAAGGCTGGAAAATTCTTGAGTGACTGCACAATTGGCAGCTTCTCAAGAAGGGCTCAGCTGCATAAGTAAGTTTAATATCACTTCACCCATATCCTTTCGGTTGGATTTGATTGAAGTTCTATTAAACTTGGTCCCCGACCCCCTTTCCAAAAAAAAAAAAAAAGCGGAATACGAGCCTCTGCAGCTCTGGAATACAAGAGATTAGGTTACAAATTATTTATCTAGAGAAAGTTTGTCACCAGTGCCTGGAAAGTCATAACCTTTCTTTCACATGAAACACCTCTTTAACTGAAGGCACTGAATATTACGAACTGTGACATACATGGAATACTTGTGTTTAGGAATGTAACCGTACGTCCATCGCCAAAATTATTTAACTAAGGGCGTTAACAACTGATGCATTGTTTAATACCGTGAGAGACGCTCCATCGGCGAGATACCATCCCGGGACCGTCTAGTTGTAATTCAGCGATTGTCCTCCTTAGGCTAAGGGTGCCACTATTGTCCCTAACGTCGCCAGTTTACTCCCAGTACCATAAACCCATGAACTGACAATGTGCGAGACCGGCCAGGAGGGGTCTTGCGTGCCTTGAGGACCTAAAAAAGTTACGGGCTTCTCGAAAAATACGAATGTAGGTCAGATGCCGGGCTGGACCCTTGGCTTTCTCTTTTTATGTTTCTATTTTTTCGTTTTTTTTT